CCCATCCACCCATCCATCCATCCATCCATCCATCATCCATCCATCCATCCATCCATCCATCCATCATACCCTCATTTATCATGTTCATGTTCTCATCCATTTGCTCACACACTATCTATACACTAATTTATTCAACTAACTATGCGACCACCCACCTAGCCTTTTACCTATTTATCCTTCCATTCATCCATCTAGCCAGCTATCTGTCCATCCATCCATCCATCCATCCATCCACCTCTCCACCTCACCCATGTTACCCACTCTCCCGTGCACATAGCCACTGGTGAAATCTCAAACCTGGAAAAAGTAACTTGACAATGAATCATTCAGGAAGCCCTGCCCTACTCCTTGTGTCTCAGACTATAGTAAGAACTTCTCCTTATTCTGCAAACTCCTCCCTCCAACACCCCATTCCTCCTATACATATGCTTGTCTGACATTAAGACACATGCTCTTTCCAGTAACACTAACCATAAAAGGAGACAACATTTCCTTTGGGGGCTTGAGGGAGTGTTGAGGTTGGTAGGCTTTTTGGAAAGACACATAAAAGCCTTCAGTGGGTAAAGGAACAGAGTGAGGAAGATGGGAAAGGACACCAGAGAGCTTGGCCAGTTAAGGTGAGAAGTGACAAGAAGGCAGGAAGCCGGTGGTGATGCTGGTTTCAAGAGGCCCTTCTCGCCCTAACCAGTTTGGCTCAGTAGATAGAGCGTCGGCCTGCGGACTGAAGGGTCCCAGGTTCGATTCCAGTCAAGGGCATGTACCTTGGTTGCGGGCACATCCCCAGTAGGGGGTGTGCAGGAGGCGGCTGATCGATGTTTCTCTCTCATCGATGTTTCTAACTCTCTATCCCTCTCCCTTCCTCTCTGTAAGAAATCAATAAAATATATTAAAAAAAAAGAGGCCCTTCTCTGCCAGCTCCAGTGTCAGCAAAGTCACTCCCTCGGCCACCTTCAGGCAGAGGGTCTGAATCCACTTCCCTAGAATGACCACCCACTGCGCTGGTCCTAAATCTTGGGACCCCATTCACAAACACCCCCACTCACGGTCCTTGGCCCCCTTACGCTCTGTCCTTCTGTGAATCTGTGATTCTGGACACATCCCTGAAAAGCTTCCCTCTGGCATGTCTGGGACAAGCAGGGATACAGGTAGGGTCCCTTCTGGAATCTCAGGCCTCTCTCCCATCTCCCAGGGCCCGGCCACCGGAGGCCTGAGTTCCTATCACTGGACCGAGCTGTGGTCACCACCAGGGAGTGGAGTCTCACACACCTATGGCTCCTGAGTCATCCTGCCTGCCCCGGCTCCGCTGGGAGCCTTAATAAGCCTTGCTTCAGGGCCAGTCACTCAAATCAATTAATGGAATTGTTTGGAGCAGCCATTCAGGGAGATGTGCCAGGATGAAGAGACTTTTTTATCAGTAAAATTGGCAAGAAAGTAAGTTTCAGGCTCACAACTTTCAACTGCAGCCTTTTCAAAGGAGTAAATTGATTTTCCCCAACCGAAGATACTTAATCTTGAGAATTTAACATTTCTGTACAAGAAAATGCATGTACGTATATATCTATAAATATATCAGTTCCGAAGGGAGCTGAATCCCGGGGAGCATGTGGCGATGTGATTCCATGTGAGACCGGGGGTAATTTCCGTGTTGGAAAGGAGACCTTTCCTGCAGTAATTAGCTTTCTTATCCCTGGGTGTGGAGTCTTTGGCTTTATTGGATCTTCCTACTCAAGCAGTTAATCATGTCTCTTGGCTTATTTCTGTGGGAGCCAGGAGGTCTCCCTAAGTCCGTTGCTTCTGCCTGCCTGGCCAGGTCAGACTGCTGACCCCCCAGGCTGCCCAGCAGCAGCCCCTGTTGTCTGCACATACCCCTCAGGCTTGCCCTTGTGGGGCTGCAGGCTGGGCCCTGAAGGGGGGAGTCAGGAGGTGAGGGCTGCAGACTGGGGTGGAGGTGGTGGGAGGGGTCAGCTCCACAGTATAAAGTCTGGTTTTAAACGCCAGCTCCATCTGTAACCACAGGCAA